GATGGCAAATATGAGACCTGATCAGACTGGTACAATATACAGATTGGATTTAAACATTAAATAGTTAAGTTAAACAAGCTTACAGGTGAGTACTCAGCTATTCCACGGACACTGTGAAGTCTGTATAAAAGGCAAGGTAGAAGACCTGAGGATGGATAAAAGGACGGGGGTAAAAAAAAGAAAAAAGGCGGCAAAAACTGGTTTGACACAATATTGCAGTGGCAGTGGCTACACTATTAGCTTCAAGATAAACACTAGCAAGATTAAAACTGCAAGTGAGGCCACCAATCATGGCCTACAACAAAGATATGGGTGGAGCTGACCTGTCAGATCAGCTCATTCTGCACTACTCCACCCACAGAAACATTGCTCCCTGGTAGAGGATCATCTTGTTGCACTTCCTGGACACTGCAACAACAAATGCCTTCATTTTGCACCGTGAGATGAGCAGTGCCAAGCAGGTGCACCCCATGACACACAAAGACTTGGTGTGTCAGCTTTGTGGCATGGACAAGACCAGCCAGTGTTCCTCGGAGCAGGAGAGCTGATCACATTCCTGTGCCCGCTGTCCCAACCTTAAATCCTGGCCTAAAAGCTACCAAAGGCAGACTGAAAGGTAAACGCTGTCTATATAGTCATAGCTCATCCCACTTTAGGAAATAACAGCTAGATTCTATATTAACTGACTGCACAGCAGTCCCTTATCTATTGTGTTAAACTACAAATGAAATATGTCAATTCAATTTTATTTATATAGCAACACAACAACAGTTCCCTGATATTTCTTTATATTGTAAGGTAACGTAGAGACTCTACAATAATACAGAGAAAACAGGGAGAACTAACTATACTTTCCTTTAAATTTAGTTTGGGAGTTTCAGAGCTCTGTGTGTTGTGTTTAGAGATCACTGGGTGTCTTTGTGACAGAGTACCATAAAAGATAGGTGGCAGTCAACAACAAGGGAGATTTAAGCATTAATCACAAATTGAAAAATATGCCTAAAAAGTACCTGAATCTTTCTTAATTAGCATAAAAAAGGGATTGTGTGTCACTTCAAACACAAACTGTCTTCTTGTTTATCGCTTTAAGGCTACGTCCACACTAAAGCGTTTTCGTTTGAAAACACATCGTTTTCTCTCCGTTTTGGCCTCCCTTCCACACTGAGGCTACGTCCAAACGTATTTTTGAAAACGGAGATTTTCCGTTTTTGTTTTAAAAAACAACCCCGTCCACACGTAAAGGCAGAAATGAAGGAAAACGCTGCTAGGAACATGCCAAAGCAGCAGGTGGCGCTATATTCCTAACCGTGTAGAAATGTTGGCCAATCAGAAGTCTAGAAGCCTCGGTGGGAAAAAGTAAACAAAGCTGGGGCATAGAAGCAGAACCGAGTCGTATGTGTGGAGGGACAGTAACTGTGTGTGTATATGTAAGCATTTAAACACTGCAGAGAGTAGAATTAACAGTAACAGTATTGTAGAAATTCATTTCACCGAAACAATAACGTGGCGCACAGTGTGACGTCAAAAAAGGCGCACACCTTTGACGCTGCGTTTTCTCCGTTTTTCTCGTCCACACGTAAATGCAAAAACGGAGTTTTAGAAAATATCCACCCTGGCCGGAGTTTTTAAAAATCTCCGTTTTCAGTGACCAAAAACGCCGTTTACGTGTGGACGAAAGGTGCAAACGCATAGAAAAATCTGCGTTTTCAAAAATACCCGGGTACGTGTGGACGTAGCCTGAGACAGCGTTTTGAAAACGCTCTCAAAAACGCATACATTTCAAAACGGAGCTGTCCCGTCGCAGTGTGGACACTTGAAAACGCAGACTTTCTAAAACGATGACGCATGTTGGTCATATGATGCAGTCATGTGACCACTTACCCAGTCATGTAATCTGATTGTTCAGTCTGACGTCACTAGCCGTGTCTGGACCTAAACTCCGCTGCAGGTCCATATATCAAACGATCACTATGGCATTACTGAGAGTTGAAAAACTGTCTAAAGTCTTTCATCTTTAATAAAATGATCAGCGTTCTGCTCTACCAGGTGTAACAATTGAGTTTAACATCCAGGCATCCATGAAAACGGAATTTATGACATTTAACGGAGTTAGAAGTTAGCAGGGAGTTAGCTCGCTAGCTTCTATCTAAATACAATATAGCATGTCCTGACTGCGGGGTTTTGGAAACAAATTAAAACGTACAGCTCTGTTATCACTTCCAGCATAAATGAAGACAGAAAACTAAACAGCAGTGACGTTTGTAGGGTTACTGAAGTTGGGCTAGCTGGTATATAATGATGTGCTACGTGACCGCTAGCGACACAGCTATGTTAGCATAATATAAACAAGCTAACTTTTTTTCCACTCGATAAAAGTTAACGTGAGTGTTCTCGGTGGTCAGGAACAAATGTAATCGCATGGCAGGATGCTGTAAAAGGACCAAACTTCAGCCAGGAGAACAACTGAGATAATCCATCCACAATACGAGGTTAGTCATTCATATACTGCTGCATGGGCTGGGCTGTAGTACATCCTAAGGTTTTAAAAACTGAGCTTAAATAAATGATTAGCGGTAATAAAAGCCGAGGGAGGTCAACAGTGATCACTGACTGTTTTAGGAGCTTTTTGAGATCAAATAGAAGAAAATACATAACATTAAACATGTTAACAACACAAAAGCCATATTAAACGCAGACTACTTTAGGCCCGGAAGTAGGATTCGTCGCGTCATCACTGAACAACCGGATACTGTTCTTTGAGGCGGTCCAATATTTTGCGTATTTGTTCTGGTCCGTCTCCCAGTCGATGTTCTCGTTTGCTTTGGAAACCTTGTACTCGTTGGTGACTCAGAGCAACAACTCCACCTCATTATCAGTCCACTTGAAAAATTTGTTGCTTTGTCTTGCCATTTCGCTGCCACGATTCAAAGAGCCGGAATGTAAATAAACGGCAGAGGGAAATGACGCAGGTCGAGTCATCTTGCGTTTCACGCATGCACAGAACTGCAACGTCAGCATTTTCGGTCGTTTTAGTGTGGACTCTTTGAAAATGACTAGTGTGGACGTGGAGCGTTTTCAGACGAAAACGCTGTTTTCACATCTATCCGGGCTAGTGTGGACGTAGCCTAAGCTTAACAAAGAAAAGTTAAACTAAAAGTAAAATATACTAATGGATTCAAGTTGGACCGCGGGAAGCAAATGATCTATGCGGGGGAGCATGTTGGAGCAGTGTATCGTTCTCTGTGCCAAGCCCGCATTATCCTAACTGTGAGTTGGCTGTGTGTCTCAACTGACCTTCAGCTCCTAATAGGATTGGCTGATACAGAAGGGTTGTTAACCTGAGCCTAATTCCCTTCATAAGGAGCTCTCATCCCGATTTTCTTGCTTTCAATCTAATGAATGAATCCAAGTGTGAAAAAAACACGCTGGAGAGCTGCCAGATGTATTAGAGAGTAAATTGGCTGTCAATAAAAGGCTGGCATGCAACCACTGAGTGTCAGGACGGCTCATAACACTGCAGAGTCAGGAAACTGAGTCTTTAGGTATACATGTTAGAGGAGGTGACTTATCACCAGGCTGGATATTCCTGTCATCAAAAGTGATCTCTTTTCCCCAAGTGCTTGTTAACAGAGCAAGGGATTTCTCCATTTTTAATCATAATTGTTTTCCTTGGAACGAATAAATGATTTCTATTTGGAAACAACCATCGAATTATTCCAGAAAAAATAAAAAACCTTAAAGGGCAATAATATTAGCGCCCTGACAAACTGACCTTTTTATTGCTGTGCTTGTAAAACAGGCTAAAACTATGTGTTATCTTCCAATTTACACAGTATAAAAACTTCAGCAAGGGTTTGAGCTGTCACTTGAGAAAATATCATTCTAAAAACAAAAGAAATCAGTTTAGACGAAGCAGGAGATGAAGATCTAAAGTTATCACAGCATTTCAAGAACTGGAGTGAGAAGTATTAAGATATTTAAAAAGAGCCATACAGTACAGAACAAGCCTGGTGGAGGTAGGAAGTGAACAAAACTAGTGAGAGATGTGTCTACTAACCCCAGGACAACTGCCAAGACGATAGTGAAGGAGTTAGCCAAGTAGGGATGTGTATTCACAGAAAAGACAATCACTAGAAGCCTGCAGAGAAATGCACTCTGAGACTGTGGACCAAGAAAAACTCTGCAGAAGAGGCACATTCAAGCCAGACTGAGGCATGCCGAGGACAACCCGAGGAAAGATTGAATGAAACTATACCCCGTTCTCAGAGTGACGCTGATTATGTCACAAAGCCCTGACTTGAATCCCACTGAAAATCTGTGGGGTGAACTGAAGTCCAAAGTTCATGACAGAAGACCATCAGATCAACCGACTAAAACAACAGACTGCAGAAAAGGAAAAACGATACACAGTGACTGTTATCATCGGGGGTAGTTAATGTGAAATAATATTGTTTCTGTATACAAAGTAAAGAAATGTAAGCATCCAAAATAACAGTAGGATGTTTGGGAAAGCTTTTGTAAATTCCTTCCCTCTCCAAATTACCTTTAAAAATAGGAATTTTCACAAGGGGGCAAATAATTCTGTCCTCATTTGTATTTTCCACCTGTTTTAATATAAAAATCAGGTGTGTCTAGTGGCTGTTTAATAAATAGTCCAGATAATATAAATGTAATTAAAATATAAACGTTTAAGGATTAAAATACAGAAACCAAACTAAGTTTCATTGGAAACCAAACCAGAGTAAATATATGTGTAAAGATAATCCAAAATAAAGATGTATACAAACTACAGTTGGTTGGGATGAGTCACTCTGTGAAACAGTGTAAACACTACAAATATATCAGTTAAAACAAATTCCAAGTGGAAAGGAAGTGTGTTCAAAATGCATGTTTCAGACACACTGCTTTTTAAAAGAGTCGAGGACATGGCTGAAGTGTCCTTGGTGGATATTACCATGTTATACAACGACACTTAAAAATCACAAAACATAACACACATACACCTTTACGGACAGGTTTTCATGTTCATGTACACAAAAGAGAACATTTAAACAAATAATGAGTTAACGTGTTCACTGCCACAACTACACAAAAAATGTACAAAACATATTTGAACAAAATTGAACAAACTAAAATAACGAACAAACTTGTGCGCTGTCCATTGTAAATTGTGTGATTTAAAGATTTAACTGCATGAAATCAGCTCGTTTACACAAAGTACAACATCTAAACCAAGGAGGCTAAACAAAACGGACACGCCAAAAATGTCCAATCCAGCCTATGGATGCCTTTGTAAAGTGTGAATATGGATCCACAAAGGAGTTATTAATAAAATTTATTGCAACTCAAGTAAAAATGACTCCCAACTGTTTTGACTCCCAACATTCACGTTGCCATCCCTGTTCTAGCCTGAGCGGTTACACTGTTTAAAATTGATCCATTGCACAGTTGTTCAGCTTCTATTTTATTTTATTTTATTTTATCAAATGTGCCTAATCTCCCTATTTACTTACTACTTGCAATGACAAAAAATGAAACAGTTTGCCTAGTTTACCAGAAAGAACATGAACATGATTAATTACAATAAAAAACAAGAAATGTGGTTAAAGCGGTTAAAATATAACCACAAAAATCAGTCTTAAAACCACGTGAGGTTTTTTTATGCTCTGTTTTTAGCCTGTACTCTACTGCTTCTTCTCTTTCAGCTTGTCTTTGATTTTCTGAGGTTCATCATATTGTATCAAGCGTAGGATATCCTTGTTGTCCATCACGCCCTGAATGAACTCTCCCTCTGAGATTTTATCTGCAAAGAACCAAAAAAAGAAACGTCAACAAAATGCTTGTGCCTTGTGAAGGTGCAGCAGATAACGAGATGAGAGTTAATAAAGTGTGGTTTACCGTTCTCCTTCTTTCCGAAAAATGTCCAGATTTTTTCAGCCCTTTTCTCCGGCGTGTTTTCATCCTCAGGGAGCTTCTTCTGTGCGTCAGCAGGAATCATGTTGAATATTGACTGCAGGAGAGTAAACACATTTTATAGGTGTAACCAATGATTCATGATGAATTTAATCAAATATTCGTCGGAATATTACATTTTCTTTGAGTAATTGTAAGTGGAGTAATTTGGAGGAGGCTGTGGCTTAAAATTGAAATCATCAAAGGTCCATTTACACATTCACAGAAGTGATTGTGATTATTCAATAGATGAATGTAACGCGAATTCAGTTTAGTCATGTAATTTTAGTGTATTCAGAACAGATAAAATTAGTATGAAGTATAGGTACCCTAACAATCTCTTGGATTTCATTTTTGCTGATGGTTCCATTTCCATCCACATCATAGAGGCCAAAAGCCCACTCCAGCTTCTGCAGAGTCTTTCCCCCGGAGGTGAGGTGCAGAGCGACGATGTACTCCTTAAAGTCCAAAGTTCCGTCTGCATTAGTGTCGAAACTCCTGAAAACGTGCCGCGCATACGCCGTGGGGTCCGCGTCTGGGAAGAAGCTGGCATAGATGCCCTCGAACTGCTGCTTGCTGATCCTCCCGCTGGGACACTCCTTAAGGAAGGACTGATACCAGGTGCACAGTTCGGCCTCTGTGTATTTGGTGTTGGACTTCAGCTCTTCCAGGAGCTCCTTCGACAAAGCGCTGCTCTTAGTATTCCCCATCCTGATCAAGAAAGGTTAAATTCTTGTATCTCCTGCGATTGGCCGTTAAACTTCTGTGGCGTTTGTGCGCTCTGTCTTGTGTTCGCTCTGTCGAGCCCCTCAAGGTGCCAAATGGGATTATGATCATCACTGCCTAAATCCAGACAGCTGTCTTGAAGATTAAGGGGGATAACTGCGTCACACTGCTATGACACCTTTATATTGAAGACAGAGTTAAATACAGGAGGCAAGCGCAGCGGATTAAAGGCGGCAGGTGGCCGTTACTTAGAAGCTCAACATCTGGAAGGATATTTGCCTTTTTAAGCAGAATTTGTGTAAATACACTCTAATATTTAGTTACAGGGTTGAAGTATAATAATACTGACTTTGGGGCCAAAGAAAGACGAGCTTAGACTGGTGCCATCTTTTATCATTGGCACTAGGGAGGAATTTGCTTACACTAAACCAGACAGTGTTAAACAAATGTATTAGACCACCACCCAATGTAAGGTTTATTCTACAGCTGTCCTAAATTAACAGTTTTGGTAATTTCCAAAATCATCTTTATGTTAATACATCCATCCATTCTCTTCTGCTTATCCAATTGACGGTCAAGGGGAGGCTGGAGCCTATCCCAGCTGTCTTAGGGCGATAGGCAGAGTGCACCCTGGACAGGTTGCCAGTCTGTCGCAGGGCTAACAAAGAGACGGACAACCATTCACACTTATGGGCAACTTAGAATCCTCTGTTAACCTAACCACACTAACTGCATGTCTTTGGACCACAACTGAGTATTTGTGCTATACTGTGATCAGCATCAGAATTAATCTACAATAATCTATCGGCAGCTCTCACGCGTCAGGGACCAAGAGGTCACTGCTGACACACATAACAGCTGATTATAATCCTGTTTCATCCTGTGCAAGGTGTACCAGCTTTGGTGAATGAAGTGAAAGCCAGTGCACATTTATTTGGATTTTTCTGCATTTTAAATGAAGTTAAAGTTGGACAAAGCAATCCTAAATTTTCCTTTATGCATAAACATAATCCGGGAGAGTCTCTGTGTAAATCTGCATCTACCTTTGCAAAATCAGATTAGGTAAAGTCCAGGTCAATCATTTCACATTTAAAATACCATTACATACTTTTACATAATCGTTTAGGTTTAGTTCACAATTGCACAAAATGTTGAGCATCTGTACGTCAGGGGAAAAGGCATTCGCTCAAACCTCACATCTGTCATTCGCAAACTGGCAGGTATTATTATGTAAAAAGCAATGAGCCTGGGAACTGTTCATTGTACCAACCGGCTTACCACTTCATCAAGTGTAACGCTGGACTTAAGTATCCTGTGGTTGTAATTTATTACATGGAAGCTAATGTTCAGTATAATCTATGTGCATTCAGAGGAATCACTAAAAGTCTATGCCTACTTACCATATAAATGCCAGCAATGAGGCAAACATACAGACGGTCAAAAATCCCCCTTATATTATTTGTTATTGTTTATTTTCTATCAGTGTCTACTCCAGATGAAACCCATTTTAATATGGCCTTGTCTTTTAAATCTTATGACTGTAGTGGACATTGTGTAACACGGTTAAGTCAAATTGTCCCTACATGAGTTTATCGTGGTCATTACTGTGGATTTTCATCACACTAATCCCGGAGTACAGTTTCTTTTTAAGCTTTTGTGTTTTAGTTTATATGAATCGTTTGAGTGTGTTCTGGATTTGACTCGATTTGACTCCAAAAACATGATGAGGATGATGAGAGGGAAAATTCGACATCTCGGATACTTTAAAGGAGTTTACAAATCCAGGGCAGTTAAATGATCTGCACAGCTGCCAGTGCTCACACTACTGTACACAGGGCAGTGTAAACAAAAACTGAGAGACCAGTGCATATACTGTACGCCTGAGTTTCAGTACTTATAACGACTTGGGCAAAATGTCAAATACATGCTGCACAGTTAGGTTACAGCTAACTGGCTAAGTGCCCCACGCTGTTAGTTATATATGTCAGGGTCCTGGGTCGCTCTGACCCAGGACCCTGAGCAGTTATGAATTATATTGTTATATGTATAGGTGATACTGTGCTGCTGTTCTGTGTCCACATTTCTGTATAGGCAGGTATGTGTGGGTGTGTGTATATATGTGTTTGGCTGTAGGATGGATGTCATGGATGTCAGGCCTGGTGGGTGTGGCCCTGCTAGGGGACTGGCCACACACGAAGCTCCTGCCACACACCTGCTGCTGATCAGGGCTCGTCGGGGGAGCTACTTAGGAGAGTCTTGGAGCTCCCATCGGTGCGGGATCATTGTGTGAGACGCCACGTTAGTCATCCAGTTGAGCTTAGTTAGTGTGTGTATGCCTGCGGTTGTATGTGCCCTGACGGCTGCTTTTATTGTGTCCCCAGGAGAAGTGTGGAGCGCCAGACAGCAGCCAGCATGAGGAGTGCTGAGACACGGGAGCGGAGAGCACTAAGACACGGACTTTTCACGGAGAGACACGACACGGGAGTCAGGGGAGAGCACGGGGATTTATTGTTATTTTTTCCATACACTGTAAATAAACGCACTGTTTACACACAGAGCTCTGCGCCTGGGTCCTCCTTCCCTACATCCCCACGGTTTGCCCTGCCAAACCGTGACAATATATGTTTGTTTCATGCCATTACCTGATTTGTTGATGGCTAAATCAGTTAAGTAAGTTGGAATTACTTTAGTTATCAAAGTAATCTACAGTAATCTAGCAAATTTGCAAGGATAATGTTAGCAACTAAGATACAGGTAACCTGGAGATAATTAATTGACAAACAAAGTTACCAAATCAGCCATAAGATTTAGAAACAATTACACAGTCTCATCTACTTCATACAGTATTTTAGTTTAACTTGCAATAACTTGCAGTTTGTCTGTGTGAGCAGCGACATCAGTGTTTGCTAGCATTATTTATTGGACACAACAGCTCAGAGACACCTTTGAAAACAATAAAGTTGAGTACTCTTTTGGCAGCTTTCCACTTTTGCCCAGATGGGCATCATTACATAAAACTAGCTTTCTTCTAATGTTAGCAAACAATAGTTTTCCTATACATACATTACATACATTACTGAAGTTATCGGCTAAGCTAGCAAGCTTGGTTAACAATTTAACTGTGCTAACTCTGCAAACACACCCATGAGGGCTCAGAGTGGGTAAGTGTAGGTGAACTGTGGGCTGCCCTTTTGGACCCCTATGTGGGGATTCTGGGGGCCGCCCCATTGAGCTAGCCGCTGCATTAGTTTTGCCTCTTGTGGGCACCAATAGATGATTTTCTATGGGCAACCCATAGTGGGCTTGCCCATGGAGAACCCTCTCTGGTCCACTTGTGATTTGTCCTAATGCAGGGACCACCAAGGTTATTACAGTTAATTTCATCGAGGCTAACAGCTAAAACCACCAAAAAGAATAAAGAAACAGGTCTTCTAAAATGGCATCTTTTTGTTGTTGTTGTTGTTGTTGTTGTTGTTGTTTTGGTAGTTTTACTTGAAATAGACACTGCTAATGTCTCAGAGTACTCTGAAGTCATAACTAGAAAAATTATGTAATCTCAAATCCCTAAATTAAAACAAAATATTTCTGCCAAAATGCTTACAAAGTTAGACACTGATTTCTTCCAGAATAAGTGTTATGGTGGATTGGCTTTGCAGTATCCAATCACTCAGCATTATGAAGCAGTTCAACTTCTACAATTGTTACAAAGAGAGAAACTGTCCATAGAAGCTGCTATGTGGTTTATTGTACGACACAGTTAGCATACTAATGATCATGCTTAAGTGCCATTTTCGTATTTTAACATCAGCCTGAAGTGGCAAATACAGGAAGCATAATTTTTGCAGTTTGTACGTATTATTTGTACCCTTAAACAATAATTTTGATGGTAGCAAAACAATAGACAACATCAGTGTTTTTGTTAGAGTTTGTGATGGTAATCACGTTGGAGTTCACCACCTGTGAATGCCAGCTTCACAATCTGTAAAACACCATTAACAGCTGGGAATCAGCTAAGTTTGGAGAGCTTCACAGGGCCAAGTGTCTGTTTTTCATGCACTGCCTACTTGCTGTTTGAGGCAAAAGTCTTTGTTTACATCAAAATCTGTTGGGCCATTGAAAATGAAAAGACTGTGATGGATGATAAATGTTTCCAAAGGCACGTTTAAGTAGAGCAAGTCTGTTTGGTTTACTCGACATTCTCCATAGAAAGTCTCTAATAATAGATGAGATTTGAGGAACTTACCCACGACACTTGCGCATGTCAGCTTTTAAAGTCATTTGTCTATAGGTCAAAGCAAAGACGACACATTTGTTAGCGAAACTCTTGAGCTGCAGAAAATTACGACAAGTTTAAAGACAGCAAATTATAGACAAAAGCATCAGAGTAAAGGCAGCAGATGTTTCCTCCAACCATCTGTCTCCTTCAGATACTGTACTTCTAAGTAGTTTGTCTTCATTTGTGTGCTACATCAGCAGGCTATTAGAAGAGATTTGCCCTGCTTGCACACACACACGCAGTGAATGGATTTTCATATGAGACTGTCCACATTATGTCACAGGTCACCAACTGTAAAAAGGGACTTGATCTTATGCCTGCGGCTGCAATTACTTTGCAAATGCAGGAAACTCAGGGAAGAGCCTGCTTCTGGATTACAATCTAAGCTTGTTGTAATCTTTGCTTTTTGCTAATATGTTCAAAGGAAGTCTGGACTATAATTTGCCATTTGTAATGGATAATGTTGCAGGCAGAGCTTTGTAGAAGGGGAGGAGCGATGAGTTTGGAGTGGCAGCACAGAGGGGACAGTTTAGGAGTTCAAATGAAGGAAAACCAATAGTGCCATGGGTTTCTATTGTCTCTGTGGGAGTGCAGAGGATGCACCCTTTCATCAAGGTGGCAGCACATCAGAAGAGCCGGCAGAGGGATGTACACACTTCTCACCCAAGGAGCCCCAAATGCAACAAGATTATGAAGATTTGATATATCCGCTGGGAGGCGAAACACGGTGGCTACATATCAAAAGCCAGGATTAGTTGCCTTTTCATTTCATCTCCTCTGGCCTTGCCTCGACCATGAGGCTAGAGCGCGGGCGGCGGGCTTCTCTGGCGCTCACCCTCAACTTTGTGGCGTTTGCTTTTGCCTTATCCGCGGTGACCACCAGCTACTGGTGCGAGGGGACCAGGAAGGTGGCCAAACCCTTCTGCACAGGCCCACCGGTGAACAAGAAGGAGTGGTACTGCATCCGCTTCAACAGCACCAACCTCAACGACAGCCGCCTAGTGCAGTACATCTTTGAGACGGGGGAGGAGAAGTTTCTGATGAGGAAGTTCCACACGGGGATATTCTACTCCTGCGAGGAGGCGGCCGACATGAACGGTAAGATGACCCTAAGCTCTTCAGCCCTTTAGCTTTGGGGCTGCAGACGTTCAAAAACAGGAAGAGCTAATGGAGGAAGCAGCTCCTGTAAACGCACAAAACAGTCTCTCAAGTTAATCTACAGCTTATAAATGTCAACCCAGTTACTGGAATCGCACCATCTGGAGGCAATCTCTTGAGTCATTTAAGGTCATTTATGTATAATGCACAGATAAGGTGAGATAAACAGCTGCGAGTGTGCTTTGGCACTCGAGTAAGCTGGGTTAAATTCTCTTTAGGTCTAAATTCAGCACATTTTAACTAGATTTTCTGTTGTTTTATGCCTGTGTATAGGGAAATAGCATTTCAAACAGTGCAATATTGTTCTTAAGTAATATTTTGGGTCATTATGACCAATAATAATGAATGAAAAAGCTACACCTGTGGAGGGGGTAAGGTAGTGCACGAGGAAAATGAAAAAGACAAAGTACAGATTAGGATTAAAGCTGTGACATGCTGCATGCAGGTACTGCAAAAAGGTCCTTCATGTTGCATCATAACTACAGCTTTCTACTTGAGGTCAAAGCTAAATCTCATCAAGCGAAACATAAAACCTAATTACAAACGTGTACATGCTTTCCACAGGAATCATACTGACAGATAAGCAGCAATCTGCCTGGCATGGAGGAAGAAAAATACAAATGTTTTCAAATAGAAATAAATTTCCCTATAAAAATTTCACGTTATAGGACATATGTAGGGTGTATGAAAGTGTCATTGTTACAGAGCAAAATAAACCAAACAGTAAAGCTTCCAGATTACAGCCATTGCTGTTGCATGCAAGCCGCCCCAGTTGGTTTCATAAGCTCTGGTAATAAATCTCAGAAAAATACATTTTTATAAGGATTTGCATGCAACTAAGAGCCAAATTGTCTACTGATTTTCACCAATATGATCAGAGCACAAGAGTCAGTTCCTTGGGAGCTCCAACACCAAGGTGCCGTATCACAAAAAAATATCATCAGATGCTACAATCAGTTTTATATATGCGGCTGCGGCTGCGGTGCAAAGATGTCAGTGTTTGTGGACTCACATTATATCAAAATATACTTTTAAAAATATATAATATTCAAAAGTCATGACTTCATGTAAAAAAAATACTTGTAAGTATTTTTGATACTACTGAGTGCACTTAATTCATTTTATTGACAATCACAAGAATTGCATAGCTGATTGAACAAATAACCATGAATGTGAGATTTTCTTACAGATACACATTTAAAAAAGAATTCCATATTAAATCAGCAAAGTTTGTAGAACATTTTCTGCTCAATTTGCATAAAAAGTTTATGGTCCAAAGTTTGGCTATATAAAAAGACTGCTATGAAATTTTAAATCATCTATACAGAACTTTTTTCTTGTATTTGTCCAAACTGTGCATAATGAAATTTACAGCAAACGGGAGATGGTCGAGCAGAATGGCCACGTTGATTTGAGCTGGAATGACCCAGCGAATAATTTTGGCGTACAACTGATGCTGGGAATTACAGCTTTTAAGGGTGTTTTCGTGATTAGTGTCAAAGTGGATTCTTCTACATAAGAAAACTTACTTTTTCCCCTTTTTTTCAGGGTTTGAATGTCGAGAATTCTCAGATATTGCACCTGAAAATGAAAGAGGTTGGTGAGATTTTTATATTTTTAACTGTCTTTTGATTTCTTAGAGTTTTCTGTTACCTTATGGGTACTTTGACCTCAAGAGGATAACATAGATTGTATATAAAAGATGGACATAGTTCCCACGATGTCAACCATTAGTTCATAAAGGCCCGCTCGGGAATCTCCAATTTTGCCATTTTGGGGCTTCAAAACATCTGAATAAGAAGTCAAGGATGCTGCATGGTCTTAGGTATCTATGCCCGTCTTTAGTTTCTATTTGATGCTTAACGGGACGATAATTTACAAAAGCAACATGACTTTGTATTAAAGAAGATTTTAAACTAAAAACATTGCCATAAACTAATATGAATTAAATCAATGTAAATTACATGGACTTGTTGTTGACCTGTTGTTATTCCAGTTTTAACTGGGTTAATTTAACGCAGCTCAGGAGTCCAGGGTGGATGTGGGGCATATAAAACACTCGAGTCTCACAACGACAAACATTATGTCTCTGTCTCTAAACCAAGACACAGTCTTACACTTACATGTACCGTGAATGCCTCAAGATGATTTACAGTATTTTACATGCTTGATATCTAAGTATCAGTGACTTTCTAAATATGTTATCCAACATTATTTCTAATAATGCTATAAAACTTAATGCAGTTTCAGTAAAATGGTTGGGAAAGGGCCTTCGACTACACTCATACTGAGAAATCTTACCTTTGCAAGTCTTGCTTGTAAGGAATCTAGAATTAGCAGCTGCTGTCCTGATTTTATAAATCCATGCAGTCTAGACAGACTCATTCAGATCTCCAGACATAAAATGAGCAGACCTGTTGTACATGCATGCTTGTCTGCCTTTAGACATGCAGGATTATGCTTCCTCCCTGTTTTTGTTTGTTTTTTGTATTCACAGGAGTGCTATGGTTGTGTATCGTGGCGGAGACCCTGTACCTCACCCTGCTCTTCGCGGGCGGGGCTCTGATGACTCTGGAGCAGTGCCCCTGCTTCAGTGTCATGAACAAACTGAAGCTCAGTGCCTTTGCTGCCATGTGCACTGCCCTGTCAGGTAACACTGCATAATGAGCTCCAGTGCAGGTTATAAAAACATTCATGTTCACAACTTAAATTCCCCTTAAGCATTTATGCCTCTTTACTTTTAATTAAACCTTTAAACAATTTTTTGTTTTTTGCTGATAAATGTTCTGTAAATGGATGTTGGTGGGACATGTTTATTAAAGCCAACAGTTGCTCATAAGAGGAGTTATAGCTGCTGACTGCTTAAATCAACTTTATCCTAAACCCGTGATTAAATCTTTAAATACTAAATAAGGAGAGACTTAAAGTATAGAGCCTTTAACATCGACAAGAAAAATGGAGATAAATTATAGGTGAAGCTCGTGTGGCGGTAAATAAAAGCAGCAGGGCAGCAGGTCATGGTGGCTGGATGAGATGAGGCTGACAGTGAGCGAGCGCTCGCAGCAGCTAACTGCTCTGCGTCCACTCGCTGCCTTGGAGGATTTGCTGGTTTCTGGACTAATCCGATTGAAGCCGGGGCTGCGGTTTTGGACTGCGCCAAGACCTGCCCAGAGGAGCATCCTCCCGCCCCCTCAACTCCCCCCATCCCCCGACTCCCATCCCCCCCGTTGTTATTAGTTAATCCCAAGAAAAGCAGCTGTGAAGGGGCAGGCTGCTGATTGAGGGAGAGCCTGGATCAGGCAGGCCAGTCCACCTCACCCAGAGTCAGTCAGAAAATCACGTATGCGTTGTGCAGGGATGTTTCAGGCTTCAGCCGTCACTACAGTCATTTCATGTACTCTTTTAATGTTTTACAAATGTGGATCATCCACACTTGGAGTTTATAATGTCTTTTACTGCATGTGATCGTTTTTCACAAATCATAAATACAATGCATTGCCAAAAGTATTCTCTCATCTGCCTTCACACACATATGAGTTTCAGTGACATCCCATTAATCCATTAGCTTTATGATGGTAGCCCACACTTTGCAGCCATAATGGCTTCAACTCTTCTGGTAGGCTTTCCAACAAGGTTTAGGAGTGACTTAATGGGAATTTTGACCATTCTTCCAGAAGCACATTTGTGCAGTCAGACACTGATGCTGGATGAGAAGGCCTGCCTCACAGTCTCCACTCTAATTCATCCCAAAGGTGTTCTATGAATTAGGTCAGGACTCTGTCCACACCAAACTCACTCACCCATGTCTTTATGGAGCTTAGAGGATAGAATAGAATTGAATGCCTTTATTGTCACTATACAGATGTACAATGAGATGCACAGTTTCTGCAGCATTATATACATATGAACAGTATTTAGAGAAAAAAAATATATAAAATGTACAAATATACAATCCAGTAAAAAAAAGGAAATAAATATGTAAATAAATAGTGTTATGTATATATAGTTTGAGTTATTGCACGTAGAATTAAATATTGCACGGTGGTGGTTTATAGAGGAAAGTCCTTGGAATGGGGGGTGGAACTGCGTTTATGGTTATGGCTTTTGGGAGGAAACTGTTCTTGAGCTTGCTTTGTGCACTGCTGTGCAGTCATGCTGGAGCAGGAAGGGGCCATTCCCAAACTGTTCCCACAAAGTTGGGACCATGAAATTTTCTTGGTATGTTGAATCAATAAGAGTTTCATTAACTGGAACTAAGGGGCCGTGCAGTTCATATTCAACTAAATTCTATTTTCTTACCCCTCCTAATTCATAAAAATTGTTTTTAGAAAAACAATGTATTTCTATTAAAAACAGAAATACATTATATCAGTATTAAAACACTTAATTTGTTATGCTAACACTACATTAGCATAACAAGATTAACATTAGGATAAAAAAAACATTGAAAAGACAAAAGGCATAGAAAACAAATAACACAAAAACATATTAGCAGGAAAAACATAAAAATCCAGCATAAAAACTGGAAAGATTGGAATCTTAAAGAAGTAGGGATCTGTCTACTCCCATGTTAAAACAGGTGATCTTTTACTCATACTTTAGCACTACGAGCCTCTAAAAGAACCAAATATTAATCTTATACACAAATAAATTGCTTCATATAAATTTTACGATAAAGAGCCATCAGTATGGTCCTCTCTCGGTTGTCACAGATTCACAAACCCAACTCTATTAAATTTAGTTTTGGTCTTTTTTTGCGGTTTGAATGAGCAGTCACTTGTTGACTTGGTGTCTTTTTATCTTTTTTTGTTCTCAGGCCTTTGTGGGATGGTGGCCCACATGATGTTTACTACCATATTCCAGCTGGCTGTTGCCACCGGGCCAGAAGATTGGAGACCCAAAACATGGGACTACAGCTGGTCTTATTTGTAAGCAACTTTAACCTTCATCTCTGGCTGTTTTGACATTTTTACTCACTAGATCAAATAATCACGGCCCAAATTAAGGCTCACTACCTTCCATTTTCTAAACAATCTTTTGCCTCTCTGGCTTGAGACTCATCCACAGCCACCGTATTGTATGCAGGCGCTCGATCAGTCAGCTAGGCAGCAGTATTGTGGGTTTAACTGAGTTCAAAAATTCCATGATGAACCGGACATTGGTAGACAGTGGTTCTACTGTCCACAGCCAAACTCTAGCAGACTCTTTCTGAGGTTGTAACAGTAGTTTATGTTTCCAGGAGTCACACTTCTGAGGTGAGGCATGCTTTCCCATTCACATTTCTGCACAGGTACAGCACCTCGATTCTTCTTTTTATAGCCATTCTATTGTAGTTTTGCTCCTGTGTTTGAAATAATAAACTGTTGTATGGTGCAGTTTGGGCCAAGATTTTTACCTGTCAAAACAAGCTTAAATCATAACCCCTGCACCACTGTGCTTACAGTTGGTATGGAGTGTTTGTGTTGATATGCAGTGTTTGTTTTTCTCTAAATGTGGCGCTGTGCATTATGGTCAACTACAGGACATTGTTCCAGAAGTCTTGTGGTTGGTTCAGATTGACCTCTGCAATCCTAAGCCATGCTGCCATGTTCTTTTTAGAGAGAACATGCTTTGTGCTGGCAACCTTTGCACACAACAGTCGTTCAGAATGTTTTTAATTTTGCTGTCATGAACTTTAAGTGAGTTTTAGCTCTGTGGATTTTTGCACTTTTCTGAGCATTGCACAGTCTGACCATGGGATGAATTTGCTGGGATGCCCATACCTGGTTGTGGCATTACTTACGTATTTCACATGAATGAAAAACTTCCAAAACGTCAGCTTTTACAAAAATTCTCACACTTTTTGATCATTTTAATTGGTACATTTGATTAGCAGCACCTGGAACAGCCAGATTGTTCAACTGGCTTTCACCAACTGCACCAAAACTACGCGATTATGTGCAGAAGAGATGGTACTCACTGAACAATGAAGATGAAGGGTGCCAGGCACATTTAAAGAGAAGGATTTGGCATGTCTGTTGCTACACTGTGCAGTGTTGCATACCTGCCCAAAAATCTGGGAGTTTTAGTTTTGCCATTTGTGTTTTTATTTTTGTTGACAGATGGGTTGATATTATGACTGCAGTGTATGGATGCATGTATTCCAGTTATTCACAATAAAGACTCAGTAAATGCTTTGCTGGTGAGTTCATGGGCCCAATCGCTAATTTTGGGTCATACTAAAAACAGCTGAAGATTATAATCAGTGTCAGAGTCAGAAGAAGAGGAGTATCAAGAGCATGTTTATTAGCTGAGGACTTGTTACTGAAAAGTCGTCAATGCAAAGGTCTGTCTCTCGGCTGTCAAGGTAGCTGACATGATTGGTTATATCCGTAGGACTGGATACAGTTACAACTACTGAGTTGGAAGGCGACAGAAGCCCTGGGAATGGGATTACATTTTACCAGTTCTTGATTGTAAACTAAAATAGCACACAGCACAAACAACACTGCTGGTACGTCTGTGTAGAGCCGTGTTTATTGTTGGGGTTCTTACAGCTGCAGCTCAGCAGTAGGCTAACCCTCTTTTTAACCCTCTCCACAGATTAGCATGGGGCTCTTTCGGCACCTGCATGGGGTCTGCAGTGACGGCACTGAACCGCTACACAAAGACAATCATCGAGTTTAAATACAAACGGCGGAACATCGAGAAGAGCCTGATGATAAAGCAGAACATGATGGAGATGAACGTCCCCGAGCAGATGTGGGACATGTACCTGACTACTGTGCCGGTTGATGCCGAGGCACCTCTAGAACTGCCGGTCAATGGCCACAAGCCGTCCACAGGAACAGCGTACGAGGTCGAAATGGACAATGTACCAGAACCACAAGGAGAGGCGTACTGTTAAAGATGGAAACGTTTCTGGGGTTGATTTCCTGGACCTACACTGACTCTTGTTCTTGGATTTAAATATTTACTTCAGGACTTTTTTTGCATATTTTGTTCCTCTCCACACATCAGATGTGTCTGGTTCTTAAAAAAAAGATAATGTGAGAAGTGGGGAAGGGAAACGGGCTACATTTCACACTAAACTGGATGTAAACGCTCCTGATGAAAGACTGATCCTTCATTTCTGCTTTAGCTTCTGCTGAGCCAGCCTGTTTCATTTATGTTTGATCAAACTGTCCTCTGAAGAACGAGGCTCAATGATCTGCTCAGCAAGAGGAAGAGAAAATTACCTCATTCTGTACCATCAGGGACGTATCGCCGAATCACCGCAGGTCTACCTGCACAGACTAGACTCTGTTTGAAGTGTCCAGTAACATCTGATGTTGGACAGTCGGTCAGCTATAAAAGACTTTAAAAAGATGACAAATTAATGTCAAATAGCAAACTGGGACACAAATGTCTGCCAAGACATACAAAACAACCACTGAACCTGTGAAACAACCACAAAACAGCCACTCCAACAATGAAAAAACCCAAGACAGCTGCAAAGTTTGTAGATATTCTCCATGACTGACTGTTCAGGATTTGTTTTTTTAAAGAACATCTATCGATAAGATGTTACATCAGGAATTTGCCTTTTCTGTCAACTCCCCTGAAACAGCTGCTGTCTTTATACTCTGGTACTTTTGATGTGAGACATGCTGTAACTCAAACGCTGACAGCATCAGGCCGACACAGAAGTGCAGGAAAACATGTTTACAGGAGTAAGACTGACATCTGTTGGAACAAAAGCAGACAATAAAAAAAGCAGAATATCTCTCGAGCCCACAGTTTGTGTCACTGAGGATGTAATGAAGATGAAATTAAATACAGCTGTGCTTTTCACTGACTTTGTTGCTCTTCTAAAAACTAGCAAGCAAACCCAATTAAACGCTCGATTGTGGCCAATCTCTTGTCATGCTGCTGCTGCTGTTGCTGTGGGGGAATTAATCTCATCAGCTGGCGAGAATCCAGCTGTGCTCGCCAAACACGCTGATTTCATCTGTGATTCGAGGCTCGTGGTAACACCGGAGCCCATTTTCCCCACAATCTTTCTTTTTGTGATTAATTCTGCTGCATTTATTAACGTAGGCTCACTATAACAGAGTTATATTACTAATAACATTGATACCTAAACAAGCTTCTACATTACACTGCGTCTTAGTTCCATATGGTTTGTATTACACATGGCCAAAGTTTCAACCAAAGAGGTCAAAGTATGTACAAGTAATACATGTGAGATAGGATACTTTAAACACTAAGGTTTACAAAGTCTTTTCTACTTTTGCCTCTGCATGATTCTGTGATTAGTTACTATTTATGCTAATTGCAAGCAATCTCTCAGTCTAAAGCTGGATTGATCAGCCAGGAAAAATTTAATCAACTGCACTAATTAGCTTTAGTCCACTTCTGTTAACTGCAGATTAGGACCTATACTGCCTTCTTAATATACAGACAGAAATACATAAAGTCTCTGGCCACAGTGTCAAATTATGAGGCCAGTGTATATAAAAGTAATTCCTGTGAATTAAAATCTCAGACTCTACTAGTTTGTTTTGTTTTTTTCCCCACACTTGCCTCTGTATGATCTCATACAGTGGGGATATCCACTTTATGGTCAATCAGCCCTGAAGTCCCACTCATCTGCTGTTTATGTGGGGCAGCCAATCAACAGAAAGCTTCTTTCAAACAGAGCATGAAGTCAGGGGTCACACCAAAGCCTAGTACGAGATAAATAAAACTTATTTTGAACTGTGACTCATGCAAAGCTACTCTAGTGGGGTCCAGGAATAAATATACATGTGGAAATGAGCAGATGTCCCTTTATGTAAGCTTTTTAATATAAAAATAACATAGCAGTTGTATTATTTACTCTACATATCAACTACATAATTCTGCATGTATAATATAGTGATACGCTTGTATAGTATAACAAAGGTTTTTAATTACATTTTAATGAATTTTATTGGTAGAAAATTCAGTCATGCATGCACACAGTCTGATATTTTTAAAAGAATCACAGTTTATCTGTTAAACTGTTCTTATTATAATACAAATATCACCTTCAACCCATTGGTTTAATTATATTTTTGGTTATTTTATCCAAATATAGTCCACATTACATTTAAAATTGTTTAAATGTACATTGAATTACATTGATGTGAGATTTCTCACTTGTACATTGCACACTGTGCGAGTGTAGTTAATTAGAGGTAGAATTACAGTATGTAGTCTAAGGAGCTTGGAAAGAAAAGCGTCTGGACTCCTTAAACTATGAAGACCTGGATGACTGAGAACCTTCACAGACATACAGCATGTAGGTGCCATAGAAGCTGCAGTCAAGTGATGACAAACTCTTTATATCTCTGCTCTGGTTGTTCTTCAACATACTTCTTTATGTACAAGCAGGAGACATGAGCCTTTAAGTTCTCTTCAACCACAAAGTCCAGCGCAGCCTGTTAAGAAACAAAACAAACATTAAAACTACTCAGAAAAAAATCACGTATGACCTGAAACGAGTTGACTGACACCTGGAGTTTTACCCTCGACAGCAGAGCTGCAACACCATGGCCCCTGTATGTCTCGGGTACGAAGGTAGACATCAGGTCCACCTCCTTCTCCCCAGTGAATCTGTATTTCAGCACCCCACATTCATGGTCCGCTAGAAAGAGGACAGTAATGGCTCCTTATTACAATAATATTAAGCAGATGCTTATAGGAAGAAAAAAAAATTAAAAATCACCACATGATTTTTGTATTTCCTAGATTAAATTATCTCATGCTATTTCATAGAAAGTAATACAGCTTATTTTCTTTCAAATGGGGAATTGTGAAACTTTCAGCAAAATTAAATCAGTTGGAACAGAAAATACCAAATTCCCATCAAAAATACCTTCATTTAAACCCCAACTTCTCCCCTGCAACTTGTTGTGCTAGGTCTTGACTTAGCAAAGATTTCACCAAAATACATTAGTACAGATCACAATAAGTATGCCGATCTCTTAGCTAAGTGGCACTGAACCCTTTAAAATATATGACATTGATATGGGTTAAAAAGAAGCTGACTTTAACCAAAGAAACCATTAAAACACACATTTTTAAATGGAATTTCGCTGAGCGCTCTGATTGCTACACACAATTTATGTGTGAGAGGGATCCAAATAAACAACTGAAAGAGAAACACATCACACAACACAATATTGAATTTAAAATAATTAATCATCTCAAATGTCCTCCATCAGGCCGCGACGACACCTCGGGCTCTCTTAAAGGCTCTACGCGGGAAGGGGAGCTGCAACTCGGGCTGTGTGCTTACCAGTACTGCTGCCTGCGGTGACCGTGAAGCGCTGGTTACGTCGGTCATGTTCAACCTTTAAACTGCCGGCGGAGCTTAACGTACTGAAGGCGGTCTGAGAGGATTTCAGTCCGTGACTCAGTGTACAGACTCTGGAAAGTATTCTAAAAGCCATTTATTTAAAAAATTAAAATAAATAAACAGCTAAAACACGACAGCGCGTCGACGATCAGGTCTTCTCTGACTTGTCCGCCAGAGTGCGCCATGAGGCAGGAGTTAATCATTAAATTCCTTTGACCTTCAAAACAAAACAATGGGATTCATAGGATATTCATTTCACTGAAAACTGTCATATCAGAACAGTAATCCTAGTATTTTTTATAATTATTGGTTCCATTTCTGTAACTCTCTACTGAGAGACATTATAAGAGAGAAATTTGGCACTGAAAGAACCACAAGTTGACGTCTGTGGTTGGGAACAGAGTTTATAAAATGATTTTTAAGAATAATTGTTCCATGCATGCAGTTTTTATGTCCCACCATTGAAATTTAAGTTCAAATTAATTTCGTTTTTGCTTCAAAATAACTGTTCAATTAAGAGCCCAGAGGTGTTTCAAGATGATTGATTTATTTAACCCAGTGATTTTATTTCAAAGAGCACCTCGGACAAAAGCAGCCAGGATATATTTATATAGCTGTGTGTTTCTTCACAGTCATGAATTTCATGACCTTGAAACATCCCTAACTATTTCGATCATAAACATGAACCCAAATATGAAAATATTTCTGTATCTTATTTCCAAGGATTCTGTTAAAGCTCAATAACATCATTCATGTAAAAGCTGTTTGTAAATGTATCTGTTAATTTGAGTCAAGTAAGTACAAACATTTCCAAAGTGTGACGTAAATTATAGAGCAGTAAATACATATATATATATGTATATGTATAAACATATATATCTATATCTATAGATATAGATAAAATTTTAAGTTCTCTGTGAGGTTTAGTCAGTAAGGTATGGAAGCTGGTTTCTTCTTCTTGAAAAAAAAAACACGCCACTCTTAAGTTACAAATTTCAGGTTAGTTTCTTGAAATGTCAACTTATTCAGAAATAATTTGAAATTTTGAACTTTTTGCAAGCTTGTTATTTGTACAGTTTATTTTCAGTGGCAGTAGTGAAAGTAATTATTACACTTCAAACCATGACTCAGTGCCAACAATAATATGTTAACAAGCCTTTTTTTTTTAAAAAAAACAAAACAAAACAAAAACAACAACCTACAGCAATAGGTCCATAAATTCAGCAACAGATGCAAAATCTCTTCAATACGTAACTTTCTGATTGAAATGCTATGAAAACTAAAGAAGAAGTGAACATTTATAAATATGAGTAAGTGCTGTAAGTCCTGTAACTCCTGATTGTTGAGTTTTAAGGAAACTCTGTTTATTAAAATGAAGAAAATCAATATTTTACACACAAATCTGAGTATAAGACAAAACACTAATCCACAGGCTGGATTTACCCACTTAGGAGCTCAGAGGCAAACCTTTGTTGTTGGACCCCTGTTGGCCCCCACTCTGTGTGGCAGCCTCATGATTCATGAAAATCATATCGCTGATTTTCCCACAATTCAATTAAACCAACAGCAACAGATAATGTGATGTGGATTAAATCTGGAACTGCCATGCGCACGAACATCAAATGATCATTAAAAAATCTTTGACATCCACTGATTTGTTAAAAACCTCATGTCATGTGTCCCATCATCCCGGTGCTGAGGCAGTATCTACATCTCAGCGGCGATGGAGGCGTTCTTCACCCCTGCACCAATCACAGCAAAGAACACATTTGGGAAAAAGGACCTGGCGTAAATGGCCATCTTAGGGAGCGAGGGAGCAATCACCACCTCTTTCCTCTTATTGTTTAAAGTCTTCACAATCTCCGCAGCGGCTTCATCAGGAGAAACGCCGAGGGGCTTCTTAGTGTACAACACTGCAGTGAGCCGACAGGAAGAGGAAATAACACTCAGCATTTTCAACAATAAAAGAAGTGTTTGAACATCTGTCTTGCCTCCTCTGAGTTTACTCACACGACCACAGGGATTTGGAGGTGGCTGGGGCTCCAGACGCAGAGCAGCTGATGAAGTTGTGGCTGATGGTGCTGACGGAGATGCCGTACTCCTCCACCTCCGCTCTCAGGCAGTCAAAGAAGGCCTGAACAGCGTGTTTAGAGGCTGCGTCTAAGATACAGAGTGAAACCTGTCATCATCTGCTCTGAGGAAACAGCAGGAATAATCGAAACTTTTTTTCTAATCTAATCTAAACTCTGTACTGGAATTTTAAAATGTTTACATTCAAATTTTTAAATATCGTCTTTGAGGGAGTCTGAAAACTTTGATAATGGATTGTTTTAAGTCATTTTTAACATATATATATATAAAAAAATGATGTTTCATGAAAAAGGGAATTTAAAAACTTACAGGTACTGCGAAAAGGCACAGCTAGTCTCCCTTGGATGCTGTTAACCAGCAGCAGGTGACCACTTCTCCTGGAGATCATGGAGGCCAGCACGCCTGGAAGAGAAATTCAGCCTTCATCGTCTCACCCTTAGAAGGTCAAAGTTAAACATGTTCCCATCATCTACCTTTAGCCAGAGTGACGGGCCCAAAGTAGTTGTTGTCCATCAGCAGTTTGTCCACCTCCAGAGACACAGTCTGTGCTGGAGCTTTCACCTTCATGCTGCTGTTAAAGATAATAATATCCAGGCACCCATAACAGTCCAGGATCTCTGCGATTGCCTCAGGCATGCTGTCCGTATCTCCAAAATCCAGCAGCACCAACTTAGGAGGAAACGTCTGAAGAGGAGAAACAGCATAGAAGAGGAGGTCTGCATGGCAGCAAGGTGCTGATTGGTGACTACATCTCATTTACTTTCACTTGTAATGCAGTACTTATGATTTGAGCAATTAAAATCTGTTTATTAGTAGTAATAGTAATAGCAGTAATAATAGCTAACATGCTGAAAAACACAGAATTTACATAAATGTGCAGAGACAGAAATAATATAATTAGTTGTTTGTGTTTCATACACAAAAGTCTTTAGAAGAACAAATGTGGAAGGTTTTGAGCTTTTCTTGACGGGTGTGGCGCTACGGTGAATTTCAGTGTAGCATCATGTGTGACATTTGCACGGTGGGCTCTACGTGACCTGCAGCAACATTAGTGGCTGTTCTATAAAGCCAAATAGTGGTCACAGGAAGTGATGTGACGGGCAGAACAACAGCCAATAGGAGTGGAGGTAAATTTATATTCGAGTCTTCTTAATTCCTGTTGTGTAAGTGGAAGAATTTTTTTTCTTATTGACAAAATGCACTGAAGTGTTGGCTTCATGTTATCATTCTTTACGCTAAGAATATCATGTCAGGATTTTGTGCCTGATTTGTGGTTTTAATTTTGGGATTTTTGTGTGGTGATGTTTTGAGATTTGTATTCTTATAAGTTATTTCCTGGTTGGTTTCTTTATGTTTGTATTCACATGTTTGAGTTTTGTTCTCTTCTTGGTTGTGGTTTTGTTTTTATGTAATTACTTGAGTTTCTGTTTATCCTGCCTCCCCTGTGCCCCAGTGATTTGTTTATTCCCTGTTTTACTTCCTGTTTTATTTTGGTAGTTTTTGTGCCGTCTGTCTTTAGCTTTACTGTCTTTATCTTGTTATCCCTTGATTGTTTCCACCTGTTTCCACCTGTATTCAGTCTTTGTATATTCATAACTGTTGTCTTCACTGTCTGCTCTACCTCTTTTTCCCCAGTAAATTCTTAGTGTTTTCCTAGTTTTCCTGATGCTGTAGTTATCTATGATATTCAGTTCAGTTTCTGTTTCAATTTTATTTTTATAGCACATTTCAAAGTCTCAGGTACATCAAAGTGTTTCACAGACAAGCCGCATTTGCGGGGTTACAGCAGTAAAGGAGCAGGAAAATACAATTATCAGCAAAAGATATACAGTTATAAGATGGTGACGTGGCAACAAGCATGAACCAGGGAAAAGTTAAAAACCAAGTTGTTTGGAAGGCAAGCTTAAACAGGTGGGTTTTTAAACGTGATTTAAAGGATTGGTTGGATTCCGACGCACGGACATCAATCAGCAAACTGTTCCAGAGTTTTGATGCGGCAAAAGCACGATCCCCCCTACTCTTCCGTCGAGACATTGGTTGCATTAAGAGCCCCTGGTTAGAGGATCTGAGTGCTCTCATGGGGATGTATAGGTCAAGGAGGTCGATTAAGTAGCTGGGTGCCAAGTTATTTAAAATTTTAAAAGTGTATAAAAGGATTTTAAAAACCATACGGTATTTGACGGGGAGCCAATGAAGGTTGGCGAGGGTTAGCCTGATAAGAGGGATGAATTCATTAGAAGTGAGATGCAGGGTCCTATAGTGTTCAGGGCATTTTTGATAATGCGAGAGGGAAGCACATCGTGACGAGAGTTAGAGCTTTTCGATTGGCCTATTATTTCCTTAAGGGTCAGAAAAGATACAGGTTCAAACTGTTCTAGGACCGTTGAGGGTTCATATTATCTATGAAGCTTTGATAAAAGAGCTTGAAGCTCATGAAACATCAAGTCTTCATGCACATCTGTCGCTTCACTTTGATCTTTTCAGTCAAACCCTTAATTAGGATCCGATTAAGGTGATTTTTACATAATGTGATAACATGAAAAACGGGGTGTCTCATATTCAGAAGCTCTCTGGCTTTGTTGCATTCAAACATTTAAGTCATTATTTCACACTGCAAACTCTGATTATACTGAACAGCAAAAACTCTGAAATTACTCTTTTTATGTGGAGCCTAGTAATTCTGAAAAGGTGGTTCAAGTTAATTCAAAAATGTTTCATCATCTTAAAAGGGAAGAAAATGTAAGTTTTCACTTCTTCATTTTTTAAATTACTTTGACATTTACAATCCACCAAAGACCCTAAGAGCAGCTCCACCAGCAAAAAATGCAGCCTGGTAATAAATGCCAGTGAAAAGGAAGCTTTACTGCACATTATTAGTGATTACATCTTTTACAGTGTACTGATTCAATATATTGCCCAAAGGATTTTTCTCGTCTGACATCCCATTGTTAATCCACAGAGTTTACTGAGATGTTGGGCCAGTCTTTGCAACCATAACAGCTTCGACTCTTCTGGGACGGCTCTCCACAAGGTTTAGAATTGTTTCTGGGAATTTTTGACCATGCTTCAAGAGGCCCATTTGTGAAGTCAGACACTGATGTCGGACGAGAAGGCTTGCGTCACAGGCTACACTGTAATTCATCTCTCAGGTTCTCTGTCAGGTTGAGATCAGGACTGTGCCAGTCAAGTTCTCCCACACCAAACTTGCTCATCCATTTCACAAGTCTCCAGCACAGACTTGTGGACAGGTGCCCAGCCATGTTGAAACTGGAAGGGGCCATCCCCAAACTGTTTGCACAAAGTTGGGATCACTCTACATGCCTAGGTTTTTTGCACCTGTGGTCATGAATGTGATTGGAACACCTGAATTCAATGATTTGGATGGATGAGTGAATACTTTTGGCAATATAGTGTACTTCACTGAGTACTTTGTCAACGGTCCTTCGGTCTACGAGCTGTTATCATCTCTAATTTCAGTGCTTTTAGACTTACCACTGTTGGATCCGAAGAATTTGCCAAATCATCAGCGAGTTCTTCGAGTTTCTCCCAGTTTTTCCCGCAGAGGATCAGCCTCGCGCCTCCTTTGTGAAACACGCCTGCACACTCTTCACACAACATACAGAACTGCTAAGAAACCAAGTTCAGTTTAAAGATGCTGTGAAAAGGTTCACCTAAAATTACCAAAGTGTGTGTGTGTGTGTGTGTGTGTGTGTGTGTGTGTGTGTGTGTGTGTGTGTGTGTGTGTGTGTGTGTGTTACCTTTTCCAAGCCCAGATAAAGCATCAGTTATAACCACCACCTTGTTGCGTACAGACTTTTTGGACAACAGTCCCATGATTACACCATAGAGGTGGAAAAATCCAGCAGTTAGCAGGACCACGCAGGGCACCAGGAGCACAGTGGTGGTCCACGTCGAGTCCATCTCCTGAAAAATGTTTTAGTTGTAACATGTAGGAATGAAATTAAAGGATGATTCTTTCTAGATATTTGATATATGTCAAACGTTTGACATTTTGTTGACAAAATGTTGAGGAAACACAGACACACCTCTAACACAGCGTGGGAAACTGTTAGTCTAGCCGAGAAAAATCAGTCCTCTAATGACCTCGGTTGGCAGTCAGTACAATTACCAAAGTGTAAAAATGTAATTCTGCCTTTTTGTCAGGGTTTTGTTCTGCGTCTTAGCAACAACAATGGGACTCCAGCTGCTGTGTGAGCTGCACAGGTGCTGGTAGGTGCTCATTTACAGCCACAAATGCTCTTGAACTCGTGGTTAGGCACAAAAAGCATGTTTCAAGTCTGAAACATGGATTTATGTTTTAAATTGAATATTATTTGAATTTTACTGATGCAGATGAGATGGGATGGAAGTGAGTCATTACATGCGTTTCATACCCAGAAGCTCTCCGGCTCTGTTACATTGGAATCCATCTCACCCTTTACAACCTTTTTTAAGTCTAACTATGTGTTCTTATGACTCTGAAACAAAAACAGAGAAGACTTTTTAAACCACGTTCTTACACCAGTAATCAAAATAAAGACAAATGAGAGATCATTAATGTCTTTCTTCTGTACAGACAGTATACTTGGATATTTTAATATTTATACACAAGTTCTCATCAACTACTTGATATCAAGTCCAGCTTTTCACACTATTATTTAAAGTCTTTAAACAAATTTGTCTTGTGAATCGTAGGGTTAGAGTTAGGCATTAGGAAATGATGCCAGATCACCGTCTGACAGTTGGACCTGCTCCTCCTCATCACATCCACTTTTTTTAAACCAAGATGGCAACGGAGAAAATGCTCATCTCGAGGCTTAAAAACACGACCTCAGAAACCAGTGGATGACGTCACTCTAGGTACATCCATCATTTATACTGTTTATGTAGCGCAAAAGATAAAAATGGCAACAAAAAGATACAAAAAGTTACTACAAAGAGAGAAAAAAAACCAAGCCTGCAAGAAGAGACAAAAATGACAGTAAACACTAGAACACAAAACACAAAAAAATCACAACAGGGGAAAACTAAGAAAGAAAAAACTGCAAAGCAAATGCACAAAAAAGCAATGAAAAGACAAAGTTGCAGGAAAAGAGAAAAATAACAAAGGAACAGATATTTATCCAACCGACGCACACAAAAGGCAACTGCAAAATGAAAAAATATAACAACAGAGAGACACAAAATTAGTTTAAACAAAGAGAAAAAAATGACGAGATAAAACACAATCACAAATATAAAAAAGCAAACAGACACAAGAAAAAAAAAAGTTGTGAAAAGAGACAAAATGACAACAGGTCCAGTGTGAGTCTGGATTACTCTGTACTCAGTCTTTGGTGACTGAAATTGAAAGTACGACAAATGCACAAAAAACAGCAACAAAAAGACACAAAATGACTTCAGTGTAAAGTTACTTGGTGTTTAGTCCACTGGCCACCTCATACCACCATTAACTCTACACATTTCTCATCTGGCAGTGAAGACAGACACTCGCATGTTGTATCCAACCAGGAATTTGAGGATAACCTTTCAGTTAAGGCTCACCATGCCAAGCACTGGCTGTTTGTCCAAGAAGAGTTTTCTAAAAATACACTGCACTAAAAATAGATGCTGTGGCCCTCACAAAGGCTCAGTGTCACCCCGGACTCGCCAGGTTATTCCAAAACAAAGTCGGGAAATAACGGAGCACTTCTCAGTCCCTCTGCCTTCTGAGTCTGCGGTCGAATTTTACATTAAAGCAAAGTTTCCCCACCGTCCTCACGGGGTCTCTGCACTTTGCATAACTCACAGCTAGATTATAATGAGCAGCTCATTTCTGAGTGGCTGAGCCACCCAACCTCGACATTTGCAAGGAATTCAATTAGCAGCCACTGCTTACCGCTTCCTGGGCCTCTGCAGGTAGTCGAGTTTAATTCCTCTCCTGAGGAGCTGTAGCTGCTCTGCTCAGCACAGCTCCTGTGACATGACAGCAGCCCAACCGGCCAGGCATTGCAATACTTTAGGATTTGAGCTCTTTTAATAGCAGCACAGCTGAGTCAGTTATTTTCCATGTATCTTGTCAACATGGTATGTTTAGAATGACAGGTGGGGAGGAGATGGGGCTCCTACTGGCTACAGGAGGCTGCCCCTCTTCTGTGACCCATAAATAATTACGCATTGCTGCATAAAACAGCACACATACTGTAAGTATTTCTAAGCATCCCGAGGTCTGTGGTTCTTATCTTGCAGGTTGCATTTTACCTGAAATAAGGGATTCAAATTCAATTTTACTACAACTTACACTGAAGCTGGGATCAAGAGCCCCAGGTGTGTTATATTGGTATCCATCAATAAATAATAAAACTAAAACTATCATGTTTAATCGTGATGAATATGGCCTTATCACCTACACTGGGTCACATTAAGGCCTCAACAAATCAATGAATCAGTAAAATTTTAACGAGTAACAGCTAAGCACGAGCTCAGCGTCTACTGCTGTAGTAGTTGTGTTATGTAAAGGCAAAATCATCAATCTTTGATGTTGTTTATCACATTTTATCTAATACCTGAACCTGAAAGCTTGTGGGAAACATTAGTAAAACAGGTGCAAATATAAAAAAAACCTTTGATCTTGTAGTTTATGTGTACGGCCTCAACTTCTGATGTGAAAACCTACAAATCCCAAATTAATGTTGTGTTAGTGTTTTTACACTAAGGTCAGCGGGTGGACCAGATATGAATTGGCCTATGTGTCTTTAGTATGACACAAGCTCTAACAGAGATGAAATCTGATAACCTGATGTGCTATTTTAAAGATACTGAGTCAAGTTTTGAACCACAATCCTGGTGCTAACAGGACTTTAAAAACAGCAGACCATCAGGTGGACTCAATAACTTGGCAACTGTGGGGATGAAGAAAAGAAGAAAATGTTGCTCAGTGTTCACTGAAGTCCACGTCAGGTAAGCTATGTCCTAAAAGTCATTCCAAAACAAAGATATGTGTAACATGTTTGAAATGTGCAGAAAATTAATGCACCAAAACGTCAAAAAATTCAGGAGTTCTAACACTGTGTGACATACTTAAGCTGAAAGGACTAAATACCAGCTATAAATAAAACAGCAGGTAAATAATTTAAAATAATAAAGTAATACTGATAACGGGGAAGATTTAAAACAACAAAAACAATATAAAATGCAATGTTGTTTTTTGTTTTAGGATTTAAATTTCTTCTTTTGCGACCGCTAAATGTTACAATTTTAAACTTCCGCTTGATTTTATTTTGAAGGGCTTGCCGGATGCTGTGAGTCTATCTTGACTCTGAGGAGCTCTTGGATTTTGCGCTGACAGAGCGGACAGGTCGCTTCATCTTTCCCGTCAGACACATCGGAGCCGCCGTATTTTTCTTTTCACAGCAGCGTGACACACATCATGTCGGATTTCGAGGAGTTTGAGAAACAGCTGAGCGAGAATCGACAGGGTGAGTGCTGCCGTCCGTCTGTGCCCCAGTTCGTTCTGCAAGCTAGCAGCGTAGCGCCGGTGCGGACCGTTAGCTCGCTCAGTTGGTTTTATGAATGAATATCGCGACCTGACACCAACTTCAGCGCGTACTTTTCCTCTCTATGACTCAGCTTAGTTGCCTTACCTGTGCGATCATATTTTGATTAGACTTCAGCCTGCTTCTGAAGATGCTAAATCTGTCACACAGCCCTGGACGCAGTCTGGGTGCCGGTAAGAGCGCACAGTCAATCTTACCTGAGGCAGCAGGAGGCCAAACTCCAGGAAAACCGCGCACCTCTTTATAGTTTTCTCCTGCACCGTGAAGACACCTGCGGGCAGAAATGTAGTAACACGACACTTTCTGAATCATTTGGTACTGTTTCTGAATTCGGCATCCATTAACAAGTATTACAACGCGTTATTAACAAATTAATTTAAAAAATAATCTTTGAGTGATGGATCGAACAGCATCACTAGGGAAGAAATTAGAAAAGGACAAAAAAATGAAGGAAACAGTTTATTTGTAATTGTTTCAGTAATAATGAGGAGTTGGAGCTGAGCTTAACACATACTTATCATCACTTTATATTTATGTCTGCGTGTATCTGCATATGTAATCCCTACACTAGTTTATTATTTTTAATACTATTTTAAAGCCTATTTTATTTATTATTTATTATCTGTTTTGAAGTTCTGTCAAAATGTAATTTTATTTTTATACATTTTAATAATTTAAATTTTAATTTAAATTTTAAATTTTTTCATATTTCATTGGCTAAATTTTTTTTTATTACTTGGATGAATGAAAATTCATTCAAGTTGTGTTAGTTAAAAATATATATCATTAAAAAAATATATTATGTTTCACAAGCTCACGTGCCTATGAAAATATACATATATGTGTGTGTGTGTGTGTATTAAAAATTGTAAAGAAAAGAGTAGAATATTGTTTTGTGATCAGATGTTCCTTCATTTGGTCAGCATATTCCAAGATAATGATGCCAGGATTCGTTGGGCTCAGATTGTGCAAGAGTGGTTCAGTAAGCATGAGACATGATTTTCACACACTTCTTGGCCAATGCAGACTGCACACCCGGTGCCACTGAGAATACTTGGGATAAGCTGGGATAACTTTATGCAGCGGTCCAACACCTCCCATCACTAACATCTTTGAATGATGTCACAGCAGTCAGACTTAACCCAATATCAATTTTGAATCTTTTTAACTTTTTCCCAGCTTCTCCAGTGAATATTTGCTATTATATTCATTCATTTAGGTGTTATTCAAATTCAAATTCAAATTCAAATTTTATTTGTCACGTACACAGTCATACACAGTACGATATGTAGTGAAATGCTTGGACAATTAATCTCTTATAATGCGTAATATACCTGCAATAATAAAAACATGCCAGCGAAGTTAAACAAGGTTTCCAGTCACAACGAAAGAATAAAAAGTCAAACAGACCTCGTCCACAGCCTGACATTTAATCAAAGAGCTCCGGTACAGCTGGATCAGATCCACACAGAAAACAAGAATACCTCTTATCGATTTGTTAAAAGGTCTTAAGAACTGTACAGCCAAGAAGAAAGGCCACATTAAATTGCCACTTTTCTCAGAGATATATGATCAGCAACATATCCAAGGGTGTCAGACCCTGCAGGTACTACAGAAAGGAGAATTTCTTTAATTATCAGCGGTGAAAAGGCTAGATCTATTAAATATTTACACCATAATTATGAAGCAATTATCTGTAGAACTCAAAAGATTAAAGAGTTAATGGAATGACATGAAAATAATCAATTCTGCAAAAAGAGGCTAACACCCCCACTCATCTCCAGCAGAGCTGTTTGCACTGTCACATCCACAGTAGTAAATTGTGCTTCTACAGATGGAAAATTACAGCGATATCACAGCCTGTGAGGTTAAAAAACAACCACACCAGGGTTATGAGCTGCTGACCCATTCGGGCAAGTGACGCTGTTTCCACCGATCAAAACGAACCTTCACTAATGGCTACTTTCTTCTTAGAGTCAGTATTTTCACATTAAAAGGCCATTAAACCACCAGACATCATTAACCCTCTGATGTTCAGGACTTCATCAGCAGAGACCCTAACCTTGTGCTGTCTGTCTGAATATGTGTAAAGTCTTTTTTCTCTCAAGTCTTTAAGGTACAAAAGAAATAAGAATTCTGACTGCCATGGATCCACATCTGTTTAAAGTTTGTCCATAACAAGGTCCTTCTTGTCCATCTCCAGAGCAGCAGGTTAGGGCTGGTTGGTCACTGATGGCGATGACACGACAGCCAACTGAATGAGGAAGAAATGAAAACTGTCTGTATCTTTAAATCCAGCCACCGGTCTCAGTATTTCCTCTAGCACTGCTTTAGCTGATGTTTTTCCTCTCTTATACTTTTATATTATCCCCTAAATGTGCTGATAAATTAAGTAATATTCTTTGAAATTAAGCTGCCGGTAAGTAAAAGAGGCCAGTAAAACTCTGATCTACTGGCCTGGATGCTCACTGGGGAAAATTTTTATGTTGAACTCAGAGTTTATTGAAGCTTTCCAATATTCCAGGCAAACTCCTGTGAAACTAGAGATGTCAACTTAGTTTTATTTCCTGGGAACCAGGCTAATCTCAGGTGAGGTGGACGAGTAAAATCATTCGGAGTGTACCTGAAGTAAAGCGGTGTCGGTACAGCCTGAAAACATTTGGTTTTATCGCTCAAAAAAGAAGCGCCGCTGCTCTGTCGTGTTTGTCATCCCGTGTTTTTCCTGACCTCACAGAGCGAGAGAGGGAGCGGCACAAGAAGAGGAGTCGCAGCGGATCTCCCGGACGAGGTGACAAGCATCGCAGCTGGAGCAAAGACCGAGGTAGCCGCAGCCGGGAGAAACGCAGCCGTAGCCGGGACAGGAAGAGCCGGGATCGCCGCAGCTCCTCCCGAGACCACAAGAAGCACAGGTGGAAAACTGCATGGCTTCCTAGGAAGGATGAGTCCGTGTAAACCGCGTTTGGTTGTAGATCCTCAGACCATAAACAAAGTGAAAGAAATGTTCATTTTCATTACTGAATGAATGAATTCTGAATTCAATATTTTTGAATTCATAAAGTAGCAAAAGATGTCATTCCAATCACTGTCACATAAAGATACGATACTCTTTATTTACCCCAGAGATTTGGATATTCCTGCAGCCAAAACAGTAAACACAGGGGTGTCAAACATAAGGCTCAGGACGGCCTGGCCAATGAGCTACCAGAACTTTTTCTGTAGTTTTACACATTTATTTATCACAATTTCAACCCAAAGAGTTGTATGGAACGCCAGGACGACATAATGAATTAATTAAATACACCATTAAATAATTAATTAAATGTGGCAATAATTAATTACTTTTGTTTTACTCATGTAATTAATTAATTATTGACACATTTAATTAATTATTTATTTATTTCACATTTTAATTAATTTTTGCCACATTTAAATAATTATTTAAAGGTGTATTTGATTAATTCATTTT